GCAGCTCCCCCACTTATACCTCATTGGAATTAATTCTCTTCGTGTTTTCACAATAAAACTTTCAAGAACTCACTCCTCTTGGACAGACTTTCCCTGTAGAATATTAGGCAATGTGATCCAAACTACTATTTCTCTGAAATCTAGGACATGTCATCCTAAGCCCATCTTTTCTCTGTGGTAAAAGTCCAAGAGTCCTGTCATTTCTCCTTTGGCAACCATTTCTTCTATACTAACCAATGTTAGTTCTAGATTAGTACTTGCCTTGTCACTTTCTTCACCCTCTGAGAGGATATCGCTGCTCTATCATAGTAGGAATCCTTAGTTGTTTGCTTCTGTCTCCTCAGATGTTCTGTGGTAGTGGTGTCAAACTCAAAAACAGTGGCCTCTAAATTGTACATAAGGATCCCAGCAGGTTGCATATTGACTTAGAAAACCATTAGTATTACCTATGTTTTGTTGAATTTTTATTTATTTATGTTTGTTTATTTTATTTCTTTTGTTAAGTATTTCCCAATGACATCTTAATCTGATTTGGTCACCACTGGAAAGACCGATGAGCCACATACCATAGGCGAGCTGGTGTTTGACACTTCTTCTGTTCTTTGGTATTTTCCCACAGCAATATTACTTCTGTTTCTCCCTCCATTTAGCTTTCCCTAAGTGCTAGGTCCCCCTTTGCTATCTCCTTTATTTAGGGATCTTTTCACATGAGTATCATTATTATTATTATTATTATCATCATTATTATTATTATTATTACTATTTGCTTTTTTGGTGAGGCAGTTGGGGTTAAGTGACTTGCGCAGGGTCACCCAGCTAGTAAGTGTCAAGTGTCTGAGGTCAGATTTGAACTCCGGTCCTCCTGACTCCAAGGTCAGAGCTCTATCCACTGCACCACCTGGCTGCGCCCATATGAGTATTTCTTATTGATATACATCACTACTTTGCTTCAGCTACACTACCTTTCCCTCCATTATTTTCCTTTTCAATATAGTATAATCTTCTAGTCAGGAAACACCTTCTTCTAGATATCTTTGAAACTTACTTATGAGGTCAGTTTTTTTTTTCCCTAGCATTAAAAGGTCAAGTTCACCATATAGCCCACATTTTGTGTATATGTTGGCACATGCGAAGTCATCGGTTTGATTATTGACTCCTTCCTTGGATTTGGTTTCCTGGAGATCACTGGGCATTTCTACTGTTCTACCACTTTCTTTGTTACCTGATGGTCTCTGTAATATTTAACTTGGTGGATATTCATAAGCTGTTTTCTTGCTTCCTTCTTTATTCTATTCAAAGCACTCTGAACCAAATTGTAAGAGTTCTTAAAATATGTTTTTGTTGTCCCTTGGTAGGTACACTCCTTCCCTGGCCAAAAGCCTTTTATTGTAAGCCATGATTGAGAAATTCAAATTCTGTCCAAAACATCATCTTCTTACCATAAATTCTCCTCCAACCCAAAGCATCTGCCTTTAAATGGTGTGAGTGATGAAAACCTTGAGACTGTTCATTGTGATCTCATTATTCCCTTCAATTCATTGTCCATTTGCCTCTATATCTCTTTCCATATTTTTCCTTTTATTTAGTTGCAAGGTGTCTATTCTTCTGGTTCTACATTCCTTGCTCTGCCTTACTTCATATGACTTTTTTTTCAAATATTACATGCTGTAACATTTTTCACATTTATAACGTCTTTGTGTAATCTTTTAAAGAACAAATTATGGCAAAATTATAGCTGTAGTTTTTTTTTAACTACAAATAGTTGGTAGATTATCCCTTTAATAAAAGTAAAGAATTTTGGGTACTTAGATAAATTTGTTTTTTTCCATTTTTTTAAGATTTGTTTTTTAAGATATGATTTAGAGACTATTATACTACTTCTCTGAAATACAGCTATTTATTTATTTTGAGTTTGAATGAATAATAAATTATTTTTTGTAAGGTTAGAGAATGTATGGGATGTTCTTGTTAAACAAATATTCTTATAAACAGAAAATTTATAGCCAACAATGTAACATATGAACTAAACCAGAATGTATAGACCACCTCAATTTTTTGCTATATAATGCTTTCTTGGACACCAGGTCAGAAAGTAGGGTTATTTATTTCTGGCAACCTGTTAGTATGAAGTACGTTCATACAGGTTAGCTTGCCACCACCATTTTTGTCCATTAGATGGCCACCCTGCATTATTTGTAAGGAAAATTCAGCTGTTATTTATTTTCCCTGTGACTATAAACTGAAGAATCAGTGTAACTAACAATTTTGAAACAAATACAAAAGAATAAATTTTGAAAGTTAGAAATGAAATATAGAGAATTGAAAATTAAGATAGTATTGATAAGATAAAAGTTTTGTTTTTTTAAAGACTAACAAAATCTGATTAAGAGAGAAAGGTAATAAACAAGGTTGGGAAGCTAAATGTTGCAGTGGATTGAGTACTGGGCCTGGAGTCAGGAAGACTCATCTTCCTGAGTTCAAATCTGGCTTCAGACGCTTACTAGCTGTGTGACCATGGACAAGTCACTCAACCCTGCTTGCCTCAGTTTCTTCATCTGCAAAATGAACTAGAGAAGGAAATGGCAAACCACTCCAGTATCTTTGCCAAGAAAACCCTAAATGGGGTCACAAAGAGTTGGACACAATGAAAAATGACTGAACAAGACAAGAAAGAACAAGGTTAATTCATAACAAGTGCAGAAGAAATAAAGAGAATTACCCAAACCTGTCATATATAGTTATATGCCTGAGAAACTGAGAATTAGAAGTAAATGGATGAATTTCTACCAAAAAACATAAACTTAACTAAGTTCAGAAAAAGATTTTTGAACCACCCAGTTCAAGAAAAAGAAATTGGAATAACCCATAAATGAACTTCCAAAGAAAAACCCTTAGACTTGATGGTTTTAAAAGTGAATTCTATCAAACATTGAAAGAATAATTAAAGCTATAAAAATAATTCTCCAAATATAAAAAAGGATGGCACTCAAGCAAACACCTTTTATGAGAAAAATGTGATCTTAACACACAAACCAAAGAGGCAAAAAGAGCAAAAACCTTAGATTAATATTAGTAATGAATAGTGATACAAATATTTTAAGTAAAATGATTAAAAGGACACTAAAATGCATAGTGAAAATTCACAAATTGGATTTACATCAGAGGTAGAAGAATGTAATTCAACATGAAGACAATTAGCCTTGTCACATCAACAACAAAAACATGATCAATTCAATAGATGGAGAAAAAACGTAAGCATTGAAGGGTGCCTCTAAAGTATATCCTAGGTATCACTGGTGTAGTGTACAAACGGCTGACTTTGAAATCAAGAAGATCTGGGTCCGAACTGTGCATCTGAACCCTACTTGTCTGTATGATGCTAGGCAAATCACTTTAATCTTGTGCTCTAGGCAACTCTGTATAATGTGCTTAAACTGCATTGGTAAAGAGAGTTTCCTTGGCTAAGTTCCCTATATCACTGAACTAGCAAATTAAACCCCTATCTCTATATATGTAAAACCAACAATTAATATTTGGATTTTTTGTTTGTTTTTGCAATTGAGAAATACTAGTTTTCCCAGTACAAATGGGGTGAAACAAAGATGTGTCTACTTCCCACTATTATTTGATGTAGTTCTAAAAATGCTGGTTATTACAGAACAAAAAGCACAATTAAAGTATGAGCAGCAGCAAGTGTGAGACAAAATGGTCTCTATTTGCAGACATTGTGGGGCATCTATGAGAAAATAGCAAACAAATTAGTCAAGCTGGTTAATAGCTTCAGTAAAGTGGCAGATATGAAATAACCTATATTTCTGTAGAGTAAATAACTACAAAATGTATTGGCTTTAGCATTGGAGAGATGTTTGAAAAAAAAAACAGATTGGATGCTGGGGGGAAGGATGGTGATGAGTGAGGAACTGAGGATGACACCTAGGTTACAAACCTGGGTGACTGGGAGGATGATGGTCCCCTCTATAATAATAGGCAAGTTAGGAAGAAGGGAGGGTTTTGTTGAGTTTAAGGTGACTACAGGACATTCTAGTTCAAGATGTTCAGTCTGCAGTTGTAGATGTGAGACTGAAGTCAGGAGACCTGAGAGAGGTTAGGGCTAGACAAATCAATTGTTGTTTAACTGTTACGTTGTTTTTTAACTTTTACTAAGTCCATTTTGTCTTCCAACTGGACTGTAGACCCTTTGAGGGCCTTGGACTTCTTGGTGTTCCCTATAATACCTTGTACAAAGTTGCAGTTAAGTCAGTTTTTTAAAAAAAATTACATTTAATATAGTTATATTGGAAAGGTAGAATTGATAAACAGTGGAGATTATGAAATACTAGATAAATCACATTTCACTGTTTTTAATATTGATGCATATATTAAAGCACATACAACTTCACAGATCTGATTTTTTTAGAAATTGATAAAGAAATTGATTTTTGAAGAAGTTTTTAGTATTTTGATGGGTCTGTGCTCTTATTCTACCTAGCCCACATCTCTCTATCTTGCCTAATAGGGTAGCATAAGAGACTGTCAAAAGTTTTACCAAAATATAGGTAAAGATGAATTCATAATTTCCTTTGCCTTCTAGTCTTCTTAGATATTTTGATGGCTCTGTGCTTTCATCAATTTAGATACCGTCTCTCCTGATGCAGATCACAGCCTGAACAGCCACGCCATTTCATGCTGTGTGACTCTTGTTCATGTCCTCCCATGCATCCTCTGTGGGGATTCACCTTCCATGCTGGGGACCTTCCTCTAAATCCTTTCAAGTTGTGAAGCCTCCAGTGGAATACATGGGCTGACCATTGTTAGCCTTCTCTTTTATCACATGATGGCCCCACTGTCTTTTCTGAATGTACATGTCTCCGAAGACATCCTTATGCTGCTTTTCCTGTGCATTTCTTTGTTGGTAATATTTCACAGCCTACCCATGTCCACCATATAGCTGTCTTCATAAATGAAATTTATGGTAGCATCCTCTTTTTCTACATTTTCAGCATCAGTTGCTGAGGATAGAAAAGGCATCATTCCACATGCCATCCAAGACCCATTTCAAAGCCTTTCTCAAAATAGCAGCGTTGCTTTTAACATAAAAGTATCTTACATAGAAGTCTATAAGGAAGACCTCCGAGATCTGCTAGAATTGGAAACATCAATTAAAAATTTACAGATCAGAGAAGATGAAAAAGGAAACACAGGTAAAGAAACCGACTTTAGTGAATTCAATCAGTATGTTAGTGAATAATCCTTAAAAGTTTTATCCCTCGCTGTGCTTCACTTCTTAAAAAAAAAAATAAGTAATGGGGGCAGCTAGGTGGTGCAGTGGGTAGAGCACCGGCCCTGAGGTCAGGAGGACCTGAGTTCAAATCCAGTCTCAGGCCAAGCACTTGACATTTATTAGCTGTGTGACCCTGGGCAAGTCACTTAACCCCAATTGCTTAAAAAAGAAAAAAAATAAGGTAATTGCAAAATATTTTTGCCTTTCCTTGAAAGGCAAATAGTTTATGAATTGCTAGTAGACTTTATGATAAACCAGGCAGATGAGAAAATAGGAGCTTAGAATAGTTATTAAAATAATTTATTTTGTACCTACTCAGTTATTGTAATTCACTCAGGGCTGTACCGAAGTGAAATTCATAGGAGAAATGTAAAGGAGACAGTGTATACTTTGGTACTTTGTTTTCCTTCACTCTTACAACACTACTGACTCACCTTTCTTAGTCACACATGTCATTGATAATCCTTTGTCATTTTTTTGTACATAGATAATTAATGGTAACATCCTATATAGCCTGTTTACATCCACTGTATTCCTCTCCCTTGCCCCTTGAGTCACTTTCTTTTTTTTCTTTCTTTTTCTTCTTTTTCTTTTTCTTTTTTCTTTTTTCTTTTTTGCTTTTTTTTCTTTTTTTGGTGAGGTGATCAGCGTTAAGTGACTTGCCTAGTCACTTAACGCGGGTACTAAGTGTCTGAGGCTGGATTTGAACTCAGGTCCTCCGGACTCCAGGGCCAGAGCTCTATTCACTGCACTACCTCACTGCCCCACTGAGTCACTTCCAATTGTGATTGTTTCAAGATCAAGGTTTTCCTACCTTCACAGCCATATGACACCAACAGGAGAAGGTTGGCATTAAAAAGGAAGATATTTGTGCTTGGGATCCTGAAAAACCATTTATAGTTTCCCAAATGCAGTCCAGTCTTCTGTCTTTCTCCTGTTCGGTTCTGGACTAAACATCCACAGTACTACCTATCTCAGAAAATATGTACTGGCAGATTAAAACCAAGTTGTTAAAGTTCAGAAACGAAAAAAAAGCAATGTTAGAGGACTGTAATATTCTTGACAGAAATTACTTCTGTATTCAGAAGGTCTGGGTAATAGTCTAAGTTCTATCACTTATTACTTGTGATCTTAGATAAGTTCCTTCTCCTTTTGGGGTTTCAGTTTTCTCCCCTATAAAATGGAGAGTCCCTGAGGGATTGTGATTTTTTTGATTCTTTATTTTATCTGTTGGTTTTGTTTTCCCAGAGCACAAAGTGAGAACTCAGGAAAAATATGGTAGTTAATGGATTATCAAACTAACTTTAGGGCCTCTAAGTGACAGGGAGGCAGGCTAGGAGAGTGTGCTGACGAAAAGAAAAGTGGCACAATCTTTCGTGGCTCTTAGTGCTCCTAAGGAGCATGAATGGAAACTTCCTCACCTGCCCTCTGTGATCCTCAGCCTACCTTCCCAGGCTTGTTTCACATTAGTCCCCAGCACCAGCCCTAGTCCTGTTTGGCTGGATGTCATTGTATTGCTGTCTGTAGGCTGCCCCTGTCTAGTGAATAGCCTTTTCCCTCATTTTCAACATTTAGATGCCTTTTCCTTTAAACGTTTTATTTTTTTTTAATTGTAAACCTAACAATCAACAAACACAAATGTTTTAGTGAACAAAAATGAATAAGAAAGGGGATTGTAAAGGAAATTTAAAACTTTTGTTGTATGGTTTTGGTTTTGGATGTTTATTATTATTAGTTCACCAATATACTAAAAAAGAAAGTCTGGTCTTTGCTTGTGTGTCCCTCTGCCCTTCTTTTTGTTTTCTTCTCTGCATCTACAAGGAGATGTTTGACTGAAGCTTTTTTTCATGCCTATCTTTATCTAGTACATTACCACCTTCATCCATCTCTTAGTAGACCTCTCTTATAACAAATATTTGTAGTCCAGCAAAACAAATCATTACATTAGCCATGTCAGAGAATGTATATCTCATTCTGCATATATGGTCTGTCACCTCTTTGCCAAGAGACAGAAAATAGGTTTCACCATGAGTCTTTTGAAGTTACTATGGTATGCTGCTTTGATTAGAGTTTTGAGTTCTTTCAGTTTCCCTTTACATTATCATTGATATTAGAGCTTAAATTGTTCACTTAGTTCTTTTAATTTCATTTTTCATCAGTTTATAAAATTCCATTACATTCATGTGCTTGTTGGCCTGTTACAACTACTCCCCAAAGTTGCTGTTTTCCTTTTTTTGCTGTCTTTGCCAATCTATCGGATATGAGGTGAAATTTCAGGTTTAATTTATATTTCTCTTGTCATTAGTGATTTGGAGAAATTTTTATATGATTGTTAATAGTTTCACATTTCTTTATTTGAGAACTTCCTCCATATCCTCATATAGGTATCGATTCTCTGTGTAACTTGGATAGTAGATTTTTATTAGAGATATTTTTTGGGTGAAAATTTTCTCCAAGTTAACTATTTACCTTCTAATTCTAATTGCAATAATATTGCTTATTCAAGAGCTTTGAAATTATCCAATTTATCATTTAGGATCATCTTATTTCTTATTTTCATTTGTTCTTTATGACATTTCTCACATATATCTCTTTCTTTCCACTCACACAGCCCCACCCCAGTTCAGACCCTCAGAACTTCTCACTTGGACCATTGCATTAGCTTTCTAATCTATTTAGTGTCCCAGCTGCAAATCTCTCCCGACTCCAATCCATCCTTACTCAACTGCTAGTGACTATTCCTAAAGAGTAGGTCTGACCACATCATATTCAGCTTCCCCTTCTCTCCTTTACCACCAGTAAACTCGAGTCACTCCCTATTACTTCCAGGATCAAATATAATATAACTATAATATCCTCTAACTAACAAATAAATAAAGCCCTTCTCAACCTGTCCTCTTCCTGTATTTCAGCCTTCTTAGACTTTATTACCTTTGATCCAGATACAGTGGCCTATTTTATATTCCTTGAGCAGGATAATCTTTCCTTCTGTTTCCATACATGTTTTTTAAAATTAATTTATTTTAAACTTAAATACTAAAACTTAAATATACAATAAGAAAAGAAAATAAAACATATTATAAACTTACATACTGAAACTTAAATACAAAATAAGAAAAGAAAAAAGAAACATTGCCATGTGCACAGCCAAACGTAAGAGAGGATTCAAAATATACAACAGTAAATGTCCATTTTAAGAAAGCCTATATAATAAATACTATGCATTATGTTCAGAACTGTCCATTTTCTCTTTGCTTTCTTGTAAGTTTTCTTTTGTTCTCTGCTGTTCACTTTTTACTTTGTTCTTTTTTTCTCTCCTCCTTCCTTCCTTCCCCCAAGATGGCTACATTTAAGCACAGATAGACACACACACACACACACACACACACATACACACACACATACATATATACACACATACACACATACATATACAAAATACATATATACACACAAAGATATAAACACTTTTTATATTTTACCTTTTACCTTTCCTTGTGTTTTCAGAGCTGAAAACATTTCAGGCACTGTGCCTAGAACATAGTTAAGCACTAATAAATGCTTATTGATTGACAACCCCTTAGCCATAGTTGTAAAAGGCATATTATTTATTTCTTCTTTATTTTTATATGAACTTGAATATTTAGGGTTTGCAACCATTTGGAGTTTATTGTGGTATATGATATAAAATGGGGATTTAAGTCTAATTTCCTCCTGACCACTTAATAGTTTTCTTAGCAATTTTTGTGAGATAAGAATTCCTTAATCTAGTAGTTGATATCTTTGTTTTTTTTTAACCTGACGCTGCTACCATATTTGATTAGTTCTAGATTCTGTTTTCATAATTTATTCAATTGATCAACTTTTCTACTTTTTAACAAGTACCAAATTATTTTGATGATTATTACTTTATGGTATAGTTTAAAATCTGGCAGTACTAGTTTCCCTTCATTTATATTTTTAAAAATTGTTTCAGTTGAGATTCTTGACCTTTTGCTCTTCCCACTGAATTTTGTTCTTATGTTGTCTAGTTCTGTAAGGTAGAACCAGGACCAAATTAAAATAGTTTGGGTCATTTTTTATTTTATTCTATGTGTTACCAGATGGTGGCACCAACTGGTAGCATTTGGTGGTTTAAGGTAGAAGGTAAAAGGAATAGATAGTCTCTTCTCTTCCTTTGGAGTGTGGTCATAGTAATTCTTCCCAAACCATACCTTGGTAATTTGAAATGGCACTAAATATGTAAAGAAAAAAAATTAGGTAGTTTCATTATTTATGTTGCCATGGCCCAACCATAAAGAATTAATATTTCTCTAAGCATTTAATTTTTCCTTCATTTCTATTTAGTGTCTTGTAGTTTTATTTATTCTCTTCTTTCAGAGTTTTTGTGTCTCCTCTCTTTCTTAGTTCTTTTCCTGTCTGACTTCCCCTTCTCAATCTCTTTTCCTAGATCTTTATCTGTGTCTTGTTTGCTCCCTGGATGTCCATCTACCATTCCTCTGTCATGGATCCTTTTTTTCTTTTTTCTCTGCACTTTCTTTCAGTGATCCTATCAGTGCTCACAGGGTCAATGGTCATTTCTCTGTAGGTTTCTCTCAGATCTGGCCTTATCTTTCTCATGAGTTCTAGTCCCACTGGCCTGTAGGCATCTCAAACTCAACATGTCCAAAACAGAACTCATTATCTTTCCCTGAAAACTCTTCTCTCACCTGAACTTTGAGGAACCATCATCTTTGTAGTTACTTAGGTTCGCAACTCATCTCTCTCTTTCTTGCTTATTCCATATATCAAGTCAGTTTTCAAATCTTGTAATTTCTTTCTCTATAATAATGTTTCCATATGTCCTCTCTCTCCATTCACACAGCAACCATCCTAGTTCAGCCTTTCATTGCCTCTCACTTGAACAATGAAAATCGCCTT